ACTAGCCACGTTTCTTTAGGTGTCATCAATAACAAGTAGAATTCTACTCCTGCTAAGTCAATCTCGAATGGGTTTTCCCTATCAAATGGAAAGGTAAAACGTTGACAAGGATGAAAAGAGGTTGTACATTCTACAAGATTTAATAATAAACAGGACAAGTGACTTACAAATCAGTCTTCACGTACTCAACCAACCGATCCAGTTTACGCTTTTCCACCTGTACAAAAGGATCATAGACAGCAGAAGAAGCAGTTACACCACACATGATCCGCATAGTTCTAGAGCTTCCTATGAATGGGTCAACTTGGGTTTTTGCAAGAGTTAGTTTGCGATGTTTGAGGACACCGAAATCATCATTCTTTGTCAAGCTAAGAAGCTTATCTAATGCACCTCCCAATGCTTTGTTCACCTTCTCTTCCTGTTGGTCAGAATAAGATGGCACCGAAGAGAGATGGTTACCTTTCCGAGGAGGTGTCACATCTCTAGTGATATCAACAACGTCAACAGTGGCCTTCTTCTCCTTCTTCTCTTGAACATCTTTAGTCATATCAACAAAATAACTATACATGTCCTTCTTCTTATATTTCGGAGCAAGTGGTTCAGTTTTCACATTTGTCAACACCTTTGTCTCAACTTTCTTGTTTCTAACAACACAGTTAATAGGGAACTCAGCCTTGGATGTTGCCTGCTGCTCTACCTTCCATGACTGCTATGATGATAACATAGGTAAATACGTAAACCAATATAAAGATTGACCAAAATGCTTGTAATAAATCCACTGAAATTTAATAAATACGTCTACTACAACTTCCAACATAAGTCTACTACAACTTCCTAACATCAAGGTTAAGTAAGTCTCACTTGCATTAAAAGAGAGACTTACGTATTGGATCTTCGTTCTTAGAAGCATTTCCTTCATCGCACACCTTCGATTGTGCATCTAGCTCAATTGGCTTATTTGCCTTGTCTTTTTTGTTCTCAAGTGATGTCCTCCAAGTTTTGATGCCTTCGTACTTCTGGTCCAATAGCTCCACTTTATCCGCCAATGACCTAAGCAGCAAAATCACTTCACTACTCTCTTCTCTTTTCTTCTTTGAGACGTTTACTTTACCACTAGGACTCTCTTGATGCGTCCTTCTCTTTTTCTTCACAATATCTTTTAATGGAATCCTCATGTCAACATCGTCAACATCCTCGCTTTCCTTATCACTATTTCCATCAGTTTC